TTATAAAAAATATATTTATTACATTTTAATTTATACTATGATAACATAAGTTAAAAAAAAATGCAATCGCTTATCTTTCGGTCTTTTTCATCTAATTTCATGATTTTGTTTTTTTCATTTTGGTCATAAATTTTTTGATTTCATACCAACGAAATTTCTTCCTTTTACTTGGAGGCAGGGTCCCATTTGCATCCATTCCTATGTCTCATACAAACCCTTTTCTTTAATTACATCAAGCATGATAGCCTTGATCCATCAAAAAATTACTCTTTGGTGAATTTACCTGGGAGATAATTAGAAAGTATTTCAACAAAAATTAAAAAAGTTGTGGACAATAAAAACACATTTTCAAAAAGTACTAATTAAAAATTTGATTGCATGTTTATTTCTCAATTTTTTTTTAAATCCATAAAAGTTAAAATTAAACTGATAAATATAATTTTTTTAAAGGATTATTTTATTTTGTGTCTTTATATAAAATAAAATAATAATAAATATATTTTTTATAATTAATTATTATTAACAATATAAATATTAATTTTAATTTAATTAATTAATTAAAATCACTTATGTGTTAGTAACATTAAAATATATGTTAATTTTTATAATTTTTAATATAAATTAATTATAAAAAAAATATATTGATTACATTCTTAATTTGTACTTTAAATTAAATAAACTTTGAATTTACCTATCTTATATCCTTCTCACACAAAATACAAAGTAATAATTGAGTAATTATTAATTAATAATTATTACTTTTTATCTTAAAAGTAAAAAAATTGTTTTTTATTTTAATTATAGATATCATGTCTTAAATTTTTATTAGTTAATTTTAAATTAAAAATAAAAATTAGTTTTTAATTTAAAATTTCACTTTTTTTGGAAAATGTACTACACTTATTACGCAATCATTGCTCGTTATTCTATACTCTATAGGTAGAAAATAGATGAATTTTTATAATAAAAAGATGTTATGAATGCTTTTTTATCTTATACTCTAATAACATAAAATAGAAAAACTTATAAATCAATATTGATATTAGAAAGTAGCAAGGGATGTAATTAGGAGATTTGATTTCCAAGAAGTTCGGATTTTGTTATATTTTCATATAAAATGTTTGTCTAATGTTTTATAGTAATTTCATTGGACAAATTTTTATTTCTTCATTTTTCTCAAATAAAACACAATAAGTTATAATTCTACCTAATTTATTTGTTAAAGTTTGAAATCAAATGGGTATGGACGAAAATAACTTTTGATAAATTTACTTTAAAATTTGATTTCATGGTATGATTGTGATCATTTTTGAAAATGATTTTTTTAATATAAAGTTATTTTTTGTGAATTCAATGGACCTCAAATATTGATCTAATATTTTAATTTAATTAAACAAAAAATTTCTTTTTTTCCTTTCCCTTAAATCAGCCAACATAACAAGCTCTAATTCTGACTTACATAAGTTAACTAAATTCTTTATAAATTAATTAATTAGTATTAGTTTTAAAAATTTATTCTTAATAAGATTTTTTTAAAAAATTTTGGTCTTCAATGGTTAATTTTAATTGTTTAAATGTTAATAAAAAATCAAAAATCAAAATTAATAATCATTTCTTTAAGTACAATCAAATAATGGATGCTATACAATAAAATATAATTTTATTTTTTTCAAACCCTTCTTTATCCATTATAAGATTTAAAATTTTAAATTTTTAATAATTGAGTTGTTATCTAACAAAACAAAATAACAATTGTAATCATACTAGCTAAATAGAGCCTTTTTGTCAAGGGTCAGTATTATCTTTAATTTTTAAGTTTGATTTTATCATGTGTAAAGTTAATTTAACATTACGTTGGTGTTTAATTTCATTTAACAATAGTTAACATATAATGTAGTAGTAGATATGTGAATAACTGGTTTTTAGTGTCACACTCAAACCAGTCATTTTTACATATTGTACCAAGTCCTAAAATTTTCAAAACCAACAAAATATAAAGGTAATTTATTCATTTAGTCCCATCCAATTTTTTTTAATTAATTAACCCCTAAAATTTCTTCGAGTTTTGTCTCCTATTGCAAGTTGTTTTACAGCTCAAAAACATTACAATAAAGAGGTGTGTGTGTAAGGTACACTGGGTGTCCCATTTTCATATCTTGGCTCTAATTTTTATCCTTGGAAAAAGCGAAGCTGCGAAGGTGCGTGCTTCTTTTTCTCTTTTTTCTTTTGGTTTTTTTTTCTTTTGTCTTTTTGTTTCTCTATCTACTACTTTCTTGGATTTCCACTTAGAAAGTGGAATTCTCTTCCCATTATTTGGAATTGGAGGTCCATCTATTAGAAAAAATAAAGACAATTATTGATGTACCAAAAAAAAAAAAAAGAAAGACAATTATTGAAGACCCCATTGCCTGCAATTACTGAACCTAAAAAGCCAAAAAGAATAGATATGCAGTCTCTAGTCTCTACCCTTTTGGTTTTTCTTATCTAATTTCATGAATTTTTGTTCCTTGGTCAAATTTTTTAATTACATACCTATGAAATTTTCTTCCTTTTACGGAGGGTCCCGTTTGCATTCATTTGGAGGTCCAGTTCCCCAAGTAGCATCTTTTGTGGTTTTTTGAAATTAATATTTTTAATTTAGTCAAAGTAAATTATTTATATTGTAATTAAAAATTTTATAAAAAATTATCTTTTTAGTAATTGTTTTACAAAATTAAAATTAATAAAATAAAAAACAAACTCTTTTTAAAAAGAATTATTATTTTATTATTTAAATTATATTACATTGTATAGATATTAGTAAGTAATGAATAACTTCTAAGAGATTCAAGTTTTAAAAGATAAGTTGTACACCAACAACATGTTGATTCGAGTGGAAGGTAGTCGGTTCTCCTTAAGTAAGGTCTCAAGTTCGAGTCTTATGAATGAAGAAATAGGCGCTGAGAGAGTTTCCCTTTAATGG